GGCTCTCGGCGGGGGCGCTTCAGCAGAGGGCTGCGGGGCCGCCCGCGTGTGGCCCAGGCTGAGAGGGCAGGGCGATAGCGCCTGCTCTGTCCGCAGCTCCCGTTTTTCCTGACAGCCTCGGGTTAGTCTGCGTCAGGTACGCTTGTGGTGTTTCTTTTCTGTACTCCTGGCCGTTCCCTTCCCCTCCTCGGGTCCATGTCCTGGACTTAAAAGCGTGTAGGTGCGGAGTCTCTATTGCGGCGGTTGTCTCTGTTTTAGTGATGCTGCAAGACCGCAGACAGCTTCACCTGCTTGGCCTCCTCCTTATTTTGGAGGCGTGGGAGAGTCGTCCTGGTTCTTTTCTCCAGTCTGCTCGTGTTGGATCCTCTGATCCCGTGGTCTTTTCCAGTATTTCCTTTGCCCCCCTTTTGAGACTCTTCTATCCGGTAGAGCAGTATATGCTGTGGTGACTTTCAGCTTCACTGTAAAAACTGCCCATTTAACAAGGAGATAATAACTTCTCTAGTTATGAGAGTCGCAGTGCGTTTTTTTGTTTTGTTTTGCGGCTGTGAGGGCTAGTGATACTGTTTCAGTGAAATTCTGTTCCCTTACGCAGCAGGGGGAAAACTTTCCGACAGAAAAATGAATGTCAAGCTCCGAAATATATCCAAAAAGTGATTATTGTCAGAATTGTCTATGGCTCTGAGAACCTGAAGGTAAAACTGATTTCTTGGTTGAAGAAAAGCATGACAGCGTTTTTCAACACATGGAAACTGTTCAGGACTTTGCAAATAATAAAAAAGCTAAAAAACATTATAGTTAGTACACAACAATGGTAGTATGGGAAGAGGAAAGTAAACTAGAAACGTTTAATATTGTTATCTCAAAATATACAGTGACAGTAATTACCTGGAAAATTAGTCTGTAATTTCCCACCCTCTGTTTTGCATATGTATGCCAAAATATTTTGAGGGGTGTTAAATAGTGGGTTGGAAATATAAAGTTGTGGAGGCACAGAGGCTTGCGATCTTGCAGCAGGGTTGTGTTGTTGACCTCAGTGGGACTCCAGCGATTGGCGTAGGGCTTTATCAGTGCGGAGCAGTTGCAGGATTAAGACCGTAACTTTTACATAGGAGTTCTGCAGGTGTGATGATACCTTGTTGCTAAAGTTGGGAACAAGTTTAGAAGAAAGTACTGTTTTATATGATATATAATTGTCAGATATGTTTTTTTAACAAACTTAAGAATAATTGGTTACAGGAAGACTAAAATGTTCTAGAGAATTGATTTTAAGTAGCAAATCCCTCAATGTCTTTAACTCCCCCCCCTCTAAAAACAGCTAAGCGGTATAGTGTTTCTAGCGTTTTTATGCTAGAAGTATGCAAGGCAGATGAGGTTAATTTGATGTTGTCTGTTTATCTTGTGTGTACCTTAGTAACTGAGTGTGCAATGTGGTGTGTAATTTACATAACTTAAAATAAAGGAAATCATGCAGGTTGTAGTGACACAGTATGTTTTCCTCTGCGGCAAAGCCTAGCTGAGAGATTCTTGCTCCTGCCCTTACGCCAGAAGTCGTCTCTTCGCTATGCTTATAGAACTGCTTGTGAGGGAGGCTGTGTTGTAAGACTGGGTCCCTCTCTCATTACTCCCCTTGTGAAACATCAAGGTTTACGCTCCTCAGTACCTCTAAGCTGTTGTGCTACTGTGGTTAGAGAAGCAGTGAACTTTGTTACGCATATAAGTGGGCTGGGGAGAGCAGGAGCTTCTTAAACTGGTTTGTTTCCAAATAAGAACATAGGTGGAAAACTCCTGTAGGCTACATACTGTTTTCCTTTATAGCTGTTTTAAAGATTATTCTTCCTTCTAAGTAGTTATGGACAGTTACTAACACTTCTGTTTTGTGGCAATGAAGTGCGCTCATTTCATGAAGCTGTATTAACTTATGCTAACTGCTCATTTCACTGTTGCCTTAACTATAGAATTAACTTTCCTGTAAAGGTAACAATCATTGTTTTAGAGCAGTGGTAAGTGCTTCTGTGTATTTGCATGCAGATTTAGGCAAGTATTCTTTACAACTATTATCTTTGCTTTCATGTCTTAAAAGGGGCAAACTAAGAAGAGGGCCCTGGTACTCTGCGTGTTTTTCAATGCATAGTTAGACAAGTGACTGAAGAATGCTGCATGACTTCTTGCTTTGTTGTTTTGATTTTTAGCTGCTTGTTGCATTGCAAACGTGTTCGTGCACCGTTAACTTGAGGCATCATAGATGCACAGTTTGTGACATATACAAAATAAACTTGCTTAAAAAGCACTCCTTTCACAACAAAAATGCTGTCCTTGAATGTACTGTTTCCGCAAGGTCTTCAGCTGCTTTGTTTTCTAGTGATTCTCAAAACTAATTCTCATTTTGAAAAATGCTTTTTGTCTTTGAATGTTTGATTCTTCCAGCATTAGAGCTATTTAAAAAAAATATTTTTCACCTTTACAGAGTAATTATTTCAATCTTTGCTTCTTCCAAACTGAGTTGAACGCGTGCCTTCAAACCAGAGAAAACTTTCCTCCTAAAAACATGTAAATGAAGATCTTTTAGCAGACAACACTTCTAGGAAACTACCTAAATGTAGATTACTGTAGGGTTAGGAATCATGCTAAATGGCTAAAAGGCATAATTGACTGTGTTTAAATACATAACTGTGGCTGGAGTTTCTTTTTATTGTAACTCAATGTATAGGGATGCTGAGAAAGCAGGGAAAGACTGGATAATTGGTGACTTATTTACTGTTATCTTGCTTTGTTGCAGATCTTTGGATTCTAAATCTGTATCTCTTTTTTTCCCCCTCTCTATCTCCAGTTATTCACCATTCTCTTATCTCACTATTGGGTCATTTTGATCTCTCTGTCTTTCATGCTTGGGCTCTTGCCAAGTCCTGTTACTTTACACACCAACATCTTAGAAAGCTTTGCTTCCCCACCTGCAGAACTGAAAAACTGGTCCCTATCCAATTCACAGTCCACCAAAGTTGATTAGTTTCCTTATCACACCTCTCTTTCTCTCTTTTCCATACCAATATGGTATGCTGCCATGTGACAATCTTTCTTTGCTTATTTCTTTGATCGTGTTGTGCCAGTGGTATTATAACCACATACACATGCTTTTGAATCCATATTTCTGGGTGAAGGTGAATTGTCTTGACTGTGGCTAAAGTGCTGAATAATGTTGTTAACCATCTGTGGGCTTGTTTCCTGCCACACTCTTTTCCTCATCTAATAAACCCGTGTCACAAAAAATAGGTACTATAATTTATAAGACATCGCAAATTCCATAGAATTCCTTGCCTCACTTGAGACCAGGTTCATAATTTTTCAGTGTGAATGGTGTTTTAAATCAGTGTGTATTCAAATATTGTCAGGCTTTGCAGATTCTATTCTTAGACATGCTGAGGATATTTCTCTGAGCTTTTTATTATTTAGATGTTAAATAATTAAAAATGACATCTTGGCAAGTTTCATCATAGTGAAGGCTTATCTACAATGAATCTGCACTTTTGTTTCAGGTTTCTGGTTGCTGAGGACAGATCTCTTTGGGAATTGCTGTGAGTGTGAAGGCATTGAATACGGCATTGCTAAGCCTAAGCTAGGTTCAGCAAGGACTAAACATTGGTCTTGTTTTTTCCTCTGCCATGTCATTTTTCCTTGGTTTATCCAAATCTCTGGTGCATCTGGCTAATGTTGCTCAAGGAAGGGTAATGTGACTTGGATGAACATGAAGAAGGGGAATAGCAATGGAAAATTAGACCAATGAAAACCACTTAGCCCAAATTTGATACCTCTGCTGCCCAAGCAGTTATACTGCCTGTTTTGTGGACAGACTTTCCTTCAACAAATACGTTGTATCGAGGCATGAGTGACTAGGCTTTGTAACTTATGGTCGGATAGTGAAACAGTTGAAAACTGAACTTTTTTTTTTTAATTAAAAATTAACACATCCACTGATATGTTAGTTTAAGAATATCTAAAGTTTCTTAAATTTAGTTAATGTCTCAGGTGGCATGGAGTTGAAATCTGTGATTCTATTTTTTGGAGCATTGAGAATTTTTTTAAATTTTGTTAACAAGTAATTTGAATAATTGCCTGAAAGAGTTGCCACGAGACTTTTTCTTATTAGTGATTTAAGTATTTATTAGTGATTTGCCCATGTCAGTGAAATGTTTTGAAGGAATTTCTACACCCTTGACCTTATAAGAGGGAGGCTTCAAGTAAATCAAGACAACGTCCCAGAAAATAAGCAATATTAAAAGAAAGGAAAAATAACTTTTACAACATTCATAACATTTTATTTGTGTGTAAATTAGGATTGTGTTCTTAACTGTTTCTTTGTTGTTGGCTTTTTTTTTTTGTACCTTAATGTTAGACAAGGTGTCAATGTAATGTTAAAAACATACTCATTCTTTCCCCCAACAACCCCAAAATTCGGTGCAACAAAGTCCATGTCCTCGGTCATACAGGAAAAAAAAACCAGCATGTTTCTGGCTGCTTATTTATATCACAACACTTTATAATCAGTCATTTTAATTTAAAAATGTTTAGTTGTTTTGCTTGATGGAAGATTTTTTAATTTTTGGGTGTCTGGTTGGATTTAATGGCATGATATTATTTTTTTTCTGGCAGTCTGGAGCTGCCTAATAATCCATAGTAAAATGGAAATAATTTTGCAAATCTGTCCCTTACAGGGGATTAGTGTTGCTTGTGGGCAGGTTAAAAAGAGGGAATCTCATATGTTTAGTTTCAATGTAACTCCAAGCTTTTCTGTTAATGCTACTGTTTCTTTCATCTTGAGGTAGTACTAAGAGCTATTAGTAAGCTTGGAAAGAAATACATAACATTCGCATTCTTTTGAATGATTGTTTCTGTGGATATAATACCTCAAAGTCAAGTTTATTAGTGTTACAATAACACTTTTTAAAGTAGAAATTTTTCTTGATTGTTGCAAGATAAGGTTCATTTTATTCATGGTTTGAATTTTGATTTAAATTACCAAGTTTTGGCAAGAATGGAATAAAATTTTTCAGAGCTTGAGGCCAGTAAATTTTTGGAATGACGTCTCTCCTGGAGTGGTTGACTTGTGAGTTATGTTTTAAGACTTTAGAACCTGAATACTGCGACATGGGGCTTGAGCCCATAATAGTTTTAAATGCTTGCACCATCAAAATCTAAAAGAGCTGATCAGATGAATGCAACTTCAGAAAATCTTCCTGATTTCTGCTAGTATGACAGCTTTGTGTCATTTTGTCCTAAGAGTCAGGGTCATGTTTTGCTGATCTTCTGGTCTTCCTCAACTTTTGCATAGTACTAGTGCCTGTTTTAATGAAACCACCTTCACAGTAACACGTGGTCTGGCTGCTGGTCTTGACAGCAATGGCTTTTCAGAAAACAGATCAGTTTTCAACACTGGTTGCAAGGAATCTGCTCAGTAAGGTTAAGACGTGCAGCATCTGCCTGTCTTTAAAGATCTGCTGAAACTATTGAGGTAGTCTTGCCTCAAGCCTTACTGTGAGGAGAGCTGCTTATCTGTCTGTGCCATCCAGCTAAGTTTATCTTAACCTCTGCAGCAGTTTTTAGTTATTACTGATGATTGGTGCCACTTTGTGTATTGAACTCTTCTGTTTTGAGATTCCATGTGACTTGGAAGTGAAGTTCAGCCCTCTCAAATGTAGAGGAATCAAGGCGTGCTCAGAGGTGAAGTCTCCCTCGTCTGCAAGCAGGCGTTGAAGTTCATTGGAAAGTGCAGTTCTGTGTTCATGCAGGCTGAACCCAACCTTAAAGTCACTTCCTTCTTTCATGTTCTCCCACAAGTTTCTTAGCTAAGCTGCTGATACAGATTTACGCCAAGTCAACATAACAATTTCAAAAAATGTGAGTGCGTCGTGGACAGCTCTTGTGATAAAGATATGCTTGTAGGACTATGAGCAAAGAGACAGCGTGACTTTCTCCACCCCCGGACAAGAGAATGGTTAATACCAGCTTTGCAACTTTGGGGTACAGTATGAGGGAGCAAAACGGCTGTGGTTAAGTATGTCTAAATTAGTTATCTGCAGACTTTCAGATCCATGAAAATGAGTAGAGAGCTCTTATCTGTTATACCAAAATGGATGGGTTGGTTATGAAGGTGATCATTATTAAATAGGACAGGAGTACTCCCATAGAGTAGAAGTGAAATTCTGGAAGGTAAGTTTGTATTTAACTGAATCTTGAGGCTGTATGTGAGTTGCTGTGTTGAACCCAGTTTTTCATTCCCATGTGGTTTTACCTCTGCATGTTTTGAGTAGCATTTAGATGCCAATTTAATATTTTTAAAAAAATTACTTTGTTTTTAATTTCTACCTCTTTGGGATTTTCATGGGATTTGGTCTTTGTGTTTAATTTCTGGACTCTAAGATTAGTTCTGATGGATCCTGACTTTCCTCAGTCTTTCTGTTGTTGTGTCTCTGAACGACAGACTCTCAACTGATTCCTTCAGTTAGCTGTATGCAACATTCTGTTTGAATAATGTATTATTGTGAATCTAAATCAGAGTGATAACAGACATGCAGTTGAACGTTTGAGGCAGATGCTCTTAAATTATCAGCAAAGCACAAGAGGTTTGTATGTATGAGTAGTTAAAAACCACTGTTTTGCAAACACCTACTTTCAGTTTCTTCAGCACAAAGAGCTTTGCATGTTTTAGGATCAAGTGTCCTTTATTAGATCTTTGGATGCTGATCCATCATTTCTTGCTCAAAGTGCTTTCTTTGTGTTCATGTTCTACAGTGACTTAAATAAAATTCTGTTAACTGAATTGCTTGCTTTCCCATCTCTTTCCTTCCTCTCCTCACACAAAAAGACCCTGACATTAAAAACATCAGTTGATCAGCTGCTTAAAACTAACTGACTTCACATTGCTTGAAAATCGTGATGTGGTCCTGTTCCAGCCCACTTGCCTCTTGAAAGTTGCTAGCTGGTTTGCGTGGGTCAGGTGGCGATATCTGGAAACTCTTATTTGTCACTTAAGTAATTTTAGTCTTCTTGCTTTCATCTTTTGTAATATAGAGCTGTATGTACCTTGCATCATGCTTTAAGACCTGTGTATGATTTAATAATATCACTGTTTTGCTGGTAAGTCATTTCCGTAAGTGAAGTACTCTGCAGTGGTTATGGAGACAGTAATCTGGGGAGAAAATGAACTATGTGGATGCTGAAATAGTCCCACAGTGAATGGTTCTGGGATCTGCATGAGCATTTTGGTTATGTAAAACTAGCAACAGGAGGTGTTTGAGTAGCTGTTTATAGTTTGTATAGTAAGTGTGCATGTTGGATTTAATCATGTGGTAGTGAGACATCCTTTTTCTGGTCTGGAAGCTAGGGTTGGTGTAGATGTTGACTGCTAACATTTTATGGTTTGGCTGGAAACTTGTTTGATCGATGGTCAGGATACCATCAGTGATGTAGGCAGTTCTTTGAAAGATAAACACTTCAGCTAAGTAGTTGTTACTAAATAAAAAGATAGTTTGGTTACTTGTTGCAAGTCCATGGTGTCTTTTCAGATTTAAGCTCTTTCTCCCTTGTTCTGACAGCCAATTGCCCAGTTTCCCAGGTTACATTCAACAGCGGTATATTTCCACCTTCAAATCCAAGGGCTGCTCTGTGAGCTGTTTTCCTGTTTTCATGGTGTTATTTGTGGAAAAGAAGCAGACCAGAGTGAGTTTTCAAAACATGCTCCAATTATGTCAAGTTGTCATTGCCTCAGCCTCTGCACAGAGTAACTCTTGAACTCCACAGGCTGTGCTCTGCTCTTAAGTGGTTACTTTCCAGCTTCAGCCCTTTGAAGCTTAGGAGTTGTTCTGATATAATAATAAATAGAGTTTACTTTTGATTTTGAGCTGTAAGCTAGTGTGTTTGTGTATCAGCCTTTGCTTGTAATCACTTTAATATCTGATTTGTTTGCAGTGCTGCTTATGAGAGTTTTGAAACCCAGCAGTCTCCTCAAGGAGTCTTCTGTGCATGTTATCATTGGAAAGGATAATCAACTGATGTATATTTGTTAGTGAATTATTTTCCTGCAACATATAGCTTTCTCTTAAGATTTAGAAAATAGTTTGCATTGGCATTTTATCGATAAATAGTTTACTGTTGATTGTCTTGTTTTTTTGGCACTTAGAGATGGCATGAAATTAGAAAGTCTTTGCAATATAAACTCTTAATACTGCCTTTTTTAGGGGATGTACTTATTTTCTGGACTTCAAAATCTCTGATAGAGATTTGTTCCAGACACAATTAAGATCCTAGCACTTGATCATCTTGGGACTGACTGCTGGAGGAAGGAAGGGACTTTCATTGGAGTTCAGTACCTTGCAGTTGCTGTGTTTCTCTATATTCAACCACAAGACTAAGAAAGATTCTTCTTGTTATTAATGCAGAAAAAAAATTTACTACAAAGTCAATATTGATTTTACTGTTCAGGGTTTGATTGCTTTTTTTTAATTCCCACCCAAAATTTGTTGTTGTTTTTAATGAAGACTGAATAGCACTAGTATTTTAAACTGTTGTTCTTTTTTGTATAATAAGCAAATTTGAAGAGCAGACTCAGTCTGTGGGGGGGATTAAGGGGTGATTCCCTGTAATTCCACATTCATAGCTGAAAGGGTGTATTTTTTAGGAAGCGTGAGCATTGTTCAATAATTGAAGTACATGGCTGAGACACGAGATCTGGCTTCTCCCCCTGGTTCTGCTGGGGACTCTTGAGTATTGGTAACTTGCTTAAGTTCTTTTTTACTGATGGAAAAGATGAGGCTATTCAAAGACAGTACAACAGTCAGTAAGTCTCAGGAGTGTTGCCTGAGTGAGTGCATCCTGAATGCTCAGGATTCGTAGAATGTTAGTAGCTACTGTTCAGTTGTTTTGGGTCATCTGCCTGTCAGTGTAAGCATCACGCTTGATAAAGTTATGTGTACTTTGGCTGAAACAAAGTTTTGTGCTTTGTTTTATACTGACATCCACAGGCAATCTCTGCCGTGGAGCTCTTCTACTCTGATTAAACAAGTTGGGGGAAGAATGGGTAGAATATGTGAAGGAAATATAGAATGGAGACAGAATAAAATTTGCAAACGCTGGGAGGTCAATTTACGTAGCGATACTCTAGAAAGGTGACAGGAGTAGATGAGGGAGTAGTGTGAAAGAGGAGGTCTGGAAGAAGCCTGCAGTCGCAGCAGTACAGAGAATGTCCCCTGAAAACTAGGGGAGGTTCTCAGCCTGTTACCATAGGGCCCTGTGGTTGCTCTTTCAAGCTGGAAGCTCCGTCTGTGTATTCTCTGCATGTTTTTTTTTTTTTTCTCCAAGGCACAAAAGGAAACAGCAGATGGCTACCTATAGCTTCTATAATGTATACATCTATCAGCACAATAAACAATCTCAGGAATAAATCACTATTTTAGATCTTTCCTGAGTGCTTCTCAG